CAGTTGGTGCAACAACCGCAATTCCATCACCATTTCCACCATCATCTGCACCAGCAGCAGCAGCCGCCGCCACCGCCTCACCTTTCTCAACCCACCCTGCTCAACTTCCAGCAGACTCCTCTGGAGACCCGCAGGGTTCCGCAGTACAGCTCTTGCACCCTTCCAGCCTCCACCAAGAGCAGAGGGAAGTTCACCAACCTGAGGGACAGTGTGAAAAAGAGCCCCACTAAAAGCACAGCTAAAATCAGAGCTTCTTCCAGTGCCTTGTGGCTTGCCAATTCTTGGGGCACGTTTTCACTGGAGAAGGTATGTGGGACTGAGTCTCATTAAGAGTTGAGGGATGGTGAAGCTGAGGTATGAGGATTTGAATTTCAGCTAAGGTTACATTGGAATTCAGTTATATTGTTTTGATGTTTATGTTGTACCTTGCAAACTAATATTGGAGAAAGCGATATACAGTAATGTAAATCAGCTTCATGTGACATGTATTACATTTAATTGACAGACATAAAAATATAAATATGTATACACTTCCATAAAAAATTTGGGGGGTCAATAAGATTTTTTTTTTTAGATCATAATGTGTGTTACAACAGATTTCCATTTCAAATAGTGTATAGTACATGCTATGTATGCTACGTTTCTATTCATCAAAGAATCCTGAAAACAAATCACAAATATATTAACTGAATATTAACCTTATTTCAATATAGTTGATAAAAAGACATATTTCTTTAGCACCAAATCAGCATATTAGAACTATTTCACAATATTACAGTTATTGCTGTGCTTTTATCAAATAAATGCAGCCATTGTGAGCATAAGAGACTTCTTTAAAAAACATTATAAAAATATTACAGACACTTACAGAACTGTGTGTGTGTGTGTTTTTTAATTGTTTGATCCAGACTGTCAAAATGCAAAAATGTAGGTCCCACTTTATATTAGGTAACTATTATGTACTTACATTTAATTAAGCATTTGATACAATGTACTTATTGTGTTCATACATGTTTTTACATCGTACTTATATTTTAAAAAATTACAATGTTGACCCATCCCTTACACTTGAACTTACCCTTAAACCTACCCATACCACCAAACCTGTCTCTAACCTGACCTTTATCCCACCTCAGTAGCAGCAGAAGTGTTTTGCAATACAATATGAACACAATAAGTACACTGTACTTATTTTTTTTATGTAAGTACATAGTAGTTTCGGCCACCTAATATAAAGTGGGACCAAAGTTGAATTTACAGTCCAAAACTGTAGTACTTTTTTTAAGAAGATGTGTCAAAATATGAAATGTTGTGGTTATACTTTTGACACTACTTTGCTAAGTAGTGAACATGTTTAATATCTTTTATACACTTGAAAAGGAATATTGGGATAGTGTCATGAGTATAATATTGATAAATTTTATATGTACATGATAGTTTCAAATGGAGCCTGTATTGTGCGGAATTAAAGTGAAGAATGTTTGGGGTTGCTATTCATTTGAGACATTGGTGGGAGCTTTAGGCTGAACTCCAAACCAGTCTATCTGATCAATGCTAATGATTGATTCTAATTTTAACTCCGAGATCACAGGCCATGACTACTGTACCACTGCCATAATAGCACGCAGTGTATAAGGATTCTTATGTAAGTTACACTGGTCAATTTAGGCAGGACAAAACATTGTGGTTGAATTGGTAATGCCCTCTGTGCTGTCACTCAAATATAGCTCCATAGTACATACCACAATCTCAAGTCTCTGCCATAACCCTGAGAGTGAGTGTTAGTGAAACAGAAACCCTTTCTAATTAGTAGTTACAGTGATGTGTCTGTTGTTGACTGAGTGAACTGGACTGTTGTAACTGAATATCTGTCTCCTCTGGCTGTGGTTGGTGCTTGGACAAGCGGCTGTGGATCAGATTGCTTTTGTTTGGGAACGCTGACACAGACGGCCTGTGTAGAGGGCCAGTTTCAGCGGATGTCTCCTCACTGACAGCATGGCAACACTCACTCTTGCTCCCGTAGAGCTGGAATCTGCTGAACTCCCATAGATATGTGCTTGCGTCAGATCCTCTCCCACAACAGTGCACAGTCCACATCATGTAGGCAATGCTCTATTACAGTTTAATTTCTGAATTAATGATTAGCCATGATTTTGAAATGATTAGCCACAATTTTGAGATCCGTAAGAGTTGCTTAGAGCATGGAAATATCATGGAAATCTTGAGACAAAAGTTATGAAAGTTCACAAAGGCTAAGTAATGCTACAGTAGCTAACATTAGCTAGGTACATTGCTGGCTAGCTGATAATGTCAATATAAAACTGTTTACTATTTATTATCTGTAATGCATTTTCTGTAACTCTTTTCTGAGCTGGCTCACTGGTTTGGTTCAAGGCTTACAATTATTATATTAAGGATTTCTGTAAAGAAAATTAATGGGGAATATATTTCTGTATGGAGACCTGCACATAACATACAGGGGGGTTTCTAGGGGGTTGTTTTTCCCCCTGTATGTTATGTGCAGGTCTCCATACAGAACTATATGATTCAAGGCCATAATGTGGCCTTGAATCAATAATTTGCTGTTTGTTTACTTATCAGTTTTGATTGGATTAATATATTAGTTTTAATTAAGGTAAATTGTGACCTAAGAGGGAAATAATTAGTACAACATGGCCACAATTAAACTGAAATGAGGTACAAATTAATAACACATGGCTACAAATGAATACATCCTGGGAACAAATTCTTAATTTGTGGACACTATGTATTTTGTCATGTTCGGGGCTCCATTTATCTGAAATCAAAACTGTTGAAAAGTGTCACTCTTGTGGTATGTTCTGTGTAATTGTAAAGCTGGATTGATTGGCATCATTTTTTGTGAAATTAATTGCAGGATATTATCTACTTTGGGATATTATTGTGTATCTTATTTTTTTATTTTGCAAATAGTAATTAGCCACAGTTCACTTCAGTTTTGCTTAGCAGTTACAGTAGTTCAGTTGCAATGTAGTTTGAAGTCTCTCTTGCAGACACATTTATAACCTGCAGAAATGAAAAAGACAGACTCACTAAACCTTACAGAGCTCTGATTGACATCTTGACAGCTAATTTCATATTCAAAAGGAAAAGCTAATCCTTCAAAGACCTGCACAACAGGATGTCGATTGCTGGACTGGAGTTTTATTTTTAGCTCTGTTTAATCTTGAAACACTGTGGCCATTTTTTCATAGATAACTTAAAGGGATAATTCACTCAAAAAGGACATTTCTGCCATTAATTACTCACCCTCATGTCGTTCCAAACCCGTAAGACCTTCGTTCATCTTCGGAACACAAATTAAGATATTTTTGATGAAATCCGAGAGCTTTCTGACCCTGCATAGACAGCAAGGGAACTACCACTGTCAAGTCCCAGAAAGGTAGTAAGGACATCGTTAAAATAGTCAATGTGACATCTATGGATCAATCGTAATGTTATGAAGCTACGAGAATACTTTTTGTACGCTAAGAAAACAAAAATAACAACTTCTACCTAAAAACAACAAATTCTTCTACCTTTCTGGGCCTTGAATGTGGTAGTTGTGGTGCTGCCTATGGGTCAGAAAAGCTCTCAGATTTCATCAAAAATATCTTCATTTGTGTTCCGAAGATGAACGAAGGTCTCACGGGTTTGGAACGAAATGATGGTGAGTAATTAATGACAGAATTTTAATTTTTGTGTGAACTATCCCTTTAAGTCTAAAGAAAGGTTTGTCCTTCAAGCGAGTCACAAAATAGCACACATTCTGATGTTTACATTGATGGAGATTCTGTCACAATTTACACTTTTTAACACTGCATTTCTAAAACTACTGAATAATATATACAGTGGGTACGGAAAGTATTCAGACCCCCTTCAATTTTTCACTCTTTGTTATATTGCAGCCATTTGCTAAAATCATTTAAGTTAATTTTGTTTCCTCATTAATGTACACACAGCACCCCATATTGACAGAAAAACACAGAATCGTTGACATTTTTGCAGATTTATTAAAAAAGAAAAACTGAAATATCACATGGTCCTAAGTATTCAGACCCTTTGCTCAGTATTTAGTAGAAGCACCCTTTTGATCTAATACAGCCATGAGTCTTTTTGGGAAAGATGCAACAAGTTTTTCACACCTGGATTTGGGGATCCTCTGCCATTCCTCCTTGCAGATCCTCTCCAGTTCTGTCAGGTTGGATGGTAAACGTTGGTGGACAGCCATTTTTAGGTCTCTCCAGAGATGCTCAATTGGGTTTAAGTCAGGGATATATATGTATGTGTGTGTGTGTGTGTGTATATTTAATTTTATTTTATTGAATTTTATTGAATTTTTCACCCCAAAATGTAAATTTTTCGTTATTTACTCACCATAACGTCATTCCAAACCCATATGCTGTTATTTATTTTTTTTGCTTGTGGGCCATAAAAGGGGAATTATGAAGGTTTTTCAAGTGGTTTTGAACAGCAGTTCATAGTGGCCTGTTTTACAGTTTTTTTTTTTTTTTTTTGGAGAATGAAAGAAGGTAATCATTAGTCACCATCCTTCAAAACTGTGCTTTTGTGTTTCACTGAGAAAAGAGAAAAAAATGCGGGATTGGAGCAATGTTAGAGTGAGTAAATCATGACAGAATAATCATTTTTAATTAAACTTTTTTTTAAAGCTTATTTATAAGGTCTTTCCTTTACTAACTTTTCATTTCTTTTTTTCACCCTTTACATAATCATTTACACTGAATGTTTGTAGAGTCCTTTAATAATAAAAAGGAATTACAGAGTCTAGTCTTAATTTATGGACCAATCCAGTCATGATTATTTTGTTTGTTATTCTGTTTTCATGACCTCATCTTCTCTGTTATTCCCTCCCTCTCTGTTCTTAATTCTGTTCAATATCTGATTAAATTAGGAGAAATCGTGAAAAATCATTACTGCTGTGTCATCTGCTCTGACCTTTGACCTCCACTGTCATTGTTTAGCAGGCAGATGTCATTCCTCCCTCCGCTCCCATAATCCCTGTGATCCCCATCTCACCCGTCCCAGCCGAGACCACTGCCATTCCTGCACCCACATCACAGGTCTTTTTTTTATCTCATGTTTTCACTCCACCCACCTCAGCGATGGTCCTCTTGACTTAGAGAGATTACATAGAGAATGCCACGTTATAACACTGATGCGCACTTGCACCTCAAAAGCAATTGTGCTAGTGAAGCGTTGCTTGCAGAAGGATTAGGTCTGCGTTGGTTTGTTATGCCACTGTATTGCATATTCTGCAGTATGTTATGCTGTGTATGGACACAGGCTGTGCTGTTAATCTCTTGCAAATGCCAGAGTAATACTGTATCAGCATGCCAAGAGTAAGTGATGCTTTTTTATCGGATCTATTTCTTGTTTTTTTAATAGTTAACTGTTTGTTTCTCTGTTTCATTCTCAGTTGGTTAGGGAAAAGAAGCAAGGTGCACAGTTATGGGTATTGATTCAGTTCAGCTCAAGTATTAATGAATGTTTCCTTTGCAGGCAAGCCCCGCACCGGTGGTGGTGAACACAGAAAGCCTTGACACCTCGCCCTATGTAAGTCCATATGTAAGTGATGTTTTTCTTTTTGTACTGCACTTAGCGAAGAGGTCGATTATTGCAGAATGCTGTTCAGTTATATATAATGTACAGCATACATATATTAATTCAATTATTCCAAAGTTTGCTGCATTTATTTGATCAAAAATACAGTAAAAGCAGAAATATTACTACATTAAAAAACAGTTTTCTATTTTAATATATTTTAAAATGTAATTTATTTCTGTGTGGGCAAAGCTGAATTTTCAGCAGTCATTATTTTAGGTTTTAAAGTCACATGATCTTTCAGAAATACATTCTAATATGCTAATTTGATGCATTAATTAAACAGCATTTATTTGAAATCTTTTGTAACAATGTTAAATATTTTGTGACAATATAAATATTTACTGTCACTTTCAGTCAATTTAATGCATTCTTGCTGAAAAAATTACTGAAAAGTATTCATTTCTTATGAATGTGTCTGTGTGTATGTATATATATATATATATATATATATACACACACACACACACTGTGTGTGTGTGTGTGTGTGTGTGTGTGTGTGGACTGACCCCAAACATTTGGATGGTAGTGTGTATACTATTGTGAGGATGCTTTTTAGCTCTCTCTTCAGTATGATGCTCAAAAATGCACAATAACAAGATGGTTTCCTGCTTAATGGCACTGGGAGTGGGGATTTAATTTGATCATGGGTCAGAAAATGAGCAAATTAGAGCTGGGCATCATTCATAGTGTGTTTTCACTTTCAGTCTGTACCAAACTATAGTGTACCAATTGGTTAGAAAATATTTGCAGATATAATGAATTCAAAATATATCCTACCAAAGTGAAGAAAGTATCTTAAAATATGTTCTCACTTTGTTTTATTCACAATGAAATGAATTTTCCAGCGTTTAGGAGATTACTTTGTCTTGCGTTTTGAAGTTCCCCCACAGTATATGTGATTTTAGATGTTATGGAGTTTCCTTGTTTTAGCTAGGGGATTTATCAGGGTCCCATGGCACTTCTTCAACCCTATTCTTCTCTCAATCTCAGCAGCGTCTGATAATCCTATACATCCAGTGCCAGAGAGCCTGCTGAACTGACTTCTGTCATCCTTCATCAAAGACTCACTCTGAAGACTAGAGTTATCTGAATGAGAGAGAACTATGGTCTATATAGAAATTACCATGAGGAACTCTTGACTGACCTCATTAAATACTCCACATCATCAGCGCTGAGATTGACTCTATTGCCATGTCGCTTAACGTGGGCCATTTCTAAGGCCATCGTTCTATGATTTTTATGCATAGGAGGAGTTTTAGTTGGAGTAAACTTTTTGAGGTAAAAAAGAAGGTAAAATTTGGAATTTGACGGGTAATATTACAATTTTGGTAAATTTGTTCTGTTTATAGTCAATTTTGATGTCATCTAATAATAATAATAATAATAATAATAATAATACAGAAGACCTGAAGCACAGGATTTTTCTGCATTGTATTACCCAGGGATCAAGCATTTTTGATATTGAATCTGCCAGCAGTTCAGCAGGTGGATTTATAGTGATCTGGCTTGTGGTATGCAAAATCCAAATGTTTTTTTTTTTTCCTGTTAATAAACAAATGCTTTTAGAACATGGTTTTAATTTAGGGAATGTACAGTATAAAGGGCAATGTTGATGTTGAACAACTTATGCATGTACATCTATTCCTGTTTTGATCATTCATTATCTTGCATGCATAGTAGTAGTCTGATATTGATCGTGTAAATGCCTGTATTGGCTCTGATCCCTGGCTGGTTGTTTGTAGCCATACATGCAGTATGTGAGTAGCGGCATGCAGTTTAGTAGTGCTGAAAGCCTGTAAATGCCTCCCATAAAACAAGAGAAAAGGTTATTGTCAATATTAATTTGAGAATTGTGACAATATACTGTATGTAGTTATGCCAGAATGAAAAGGCCTTTTTGGATATTCCATGAAAAATGATACAGAAGCATTGAAGTAATAGCATGAAAGTTATTGTAGTGTCACACTGAGAGCTGGTGGCGTGATTAGAGATTAATGCCGTATTGGGCAGTGTCAGTATTGACGTATATCTCTCACCCCTTTTAAACCCCACCCCAACACCACTGATGTCACAGACAGATGTTTTCAGCAGTAGTTACAGAAAGAGTGAGTATTTAAGGTCTTTAAATGTCATTTAGAAGCTTAAAGCAGAGCCTCCAGAACCACACAAACATCTAAAAGCTGATGCATCGATGCTTATTTTTGGTCTCATCGTGCAGCCCTTTTCATTCATTTTGATTTTAAGCATTTAGTCCATTTTCATAAAAAACTTTGATAAACAGCACAGCTGTCCAGACTTATTTAAATTAAACCTCAATTTGAACTCATCCTGAGTGATGCTTGCTCAATGTAAACACTTCTTTCTGGTATCCTTGCCTGTATCATGTGAAAGTTACCAAGGTTTACTGGGTGTTACATGGTCATGACTTTGAAGTTGAAAGATTGGATCTAGTTTTACGCACACAAGGCCAGTAAGCAATTCTATCACATTAGTTTCTTGCCAACATGTATAATGTTTAAGTTACAGTTACTTTGAAAACACTGTTTTAGAGTTTATCGCCTGGTGTACTTTCATTGTAAGTGACTTTTATTGAGGGACAGGTCTGAATTATTTACTGTGGTAATCAAAATTATGCCGCAAATGCTGTTGATACAGCTTAACTTGTGTTGAACCCAGAATGTTGGACACGAGTGGACTGCATTGCATGTTTAGCCGACAGCTAGCGTCTGTGTTCTTCATAGATTTGGTTGCTGTGGCCTCTTTGGCTGAAATACACTGTAACTGGCAAGAGATATAGTGCTGCCTGAGTTTTGTAGTGCCAAGAACTGTAGAATCAGTAGAGGTGAAATGTAAGGAGTGGAAAGCGAAAACACTGTTAATTCTTACATAATCAGAGCACTTTTTTAGCACATATATGTTTATTATATAAGATTATTTTTGCCCATAATCGGTCCCAGATGGGAGTCTAAAGATGAAATTTACACTGATTTTTAAAGAAAATCTGAGGAATTCTGCTGAGTGGATTTAGATAAGTGTATTAAATGAAACTTTGAGTACTAGTTATGGAACGGAGACTAATACTTCTTGGTTGTTGAAGACATAACCAGTGAGACACATTATTAATTGAATGCTCATACTACCCTTAACCTACAGGAACTGTTCATTCTTATCTGTATATCTCTTATTGCCGTTGTATTGTTGTTTGCTCTGGTATAATGTGGGTTTATATTAGTAGTATATCAATAATAGTAGTCTGTCTACAGTATATTAGTACATTTGTGCATTTCAATAATATATTACTAGGAGTGTGAATCTAGCAGGAAATTTCTCTCTTTGATTTTGATTCCTGAACAGATGCGTTAACTATCTTGTCAGTGAAACAAAATTCAATGATGCAAACGATGAGATTATCATTCATTTAAAATATATTTAAAACAATTTCTTTAACAGGCTTGTCAAAGACTTTTCACAGTCTTTGTAGAGATTGTAATCAATCCTATAATTGGCCATCATTTTTTTAATTATTCATGACACTGGTATTTTTTTGGGGGAAAAAACAAAACAGAACCGAATACAGAAAGTAAAATCAAATAATTACTAACACTCCTGAATTACACAAACTTGCAGAACGTCTCGGTTACGTATGGTAACCCTCGTTCCCTGAAGGAGGGAACGGAGACGTCACGTCGGATGACCGACGAATTGGGATCTCGCTTAGAGAGACCAATCTACTTCGAGTGTAAACTAAACGAGCCAATGCAC